TTTGCTCTTCCTGTCTGTGAGTATGTGCATGCCACTGGGCTAATATACACAGTGGACCAGTGGCCTTTCGGGAAAGAGACACCAGTCTTTCTGTCCATTCAAGCTCACTGAAAGTAACTCAAAACCACAGGCTGCGTCAGAGATAGGAAACGGATGAGATGGCAGCGAGAGGTGAAAGAAAGAGTTTCAAAAAGCAAAACATTTGATCTTCAAAGCTGAACTGTTCTCACACAGATATGCAACAATGGTTTGGGGATCTGACTGAAGTCTCTCCTTTAACGATGCAAGTCTTAAGAATGGAACCTCAGTGTTTCTTGTCATGAGAATAAAACATGCAATCATTAAAATTTAGACGTAATTGAAAGAAGAGTTGCTGTGTAAAGTGGAACATGGAAGTGTAGGTGTGTGATGAAGGGAGGGCAGAATAGGTGGCAAGATACGAATATTTTCGAGCTTATACTCGGTCATGGGTCAGTCATGGACTATCTGATAAAGCAGGTCAAGCTCAATACTCTAATTAAAGGGGTTCATTTACTTAACACTCATGACGCTACAATAAGGTCAAAGTGGTGTCACTCACCATGTTCAACCTGCTCCTCTGAGAGCTGAAGGAAAGATGAGGCTAAGCAGCCTCTGTAATTTTCCCTCGATGACAGAAATCATTGGAAGATAAAGGAGGAAGGAAACATGCCGAGACCTGAGAGAGATTGTGTGTGTGTGCGTGTGTGCGTGCGTGCGTGCGTGCGTGCGTGCGTGCGTGTGTGTGTGTACTGTATAACAGAATGAAGAGAAAGAGAAGAGATTCGGAACAAATCTCTTCTAACAGTAGTGCATCTATGTGTTTAAATGTGTGTGCATGCGTGAGTGCGCGTGTGTGTGTTTGTGTGCGGGAGGAAAGAGAGTGATTTTGATGAATGTGTCCTGACGGATGGTGTAACCCCCCCTAAGCCTGCCTCCACTTCCTCTCCAGCCCTCCTGTCATGGCTGGATATCGAGGTCAAACCACCTTTCATATCTGTTCCACACTGCAAGGACACAATACAGAGAACAAGTAAACACCTTCCCCTGGGAGTGCTGCTGTTTTCTTATTTCTCACTCATTTCGTCTATGATTGCAAGAAAAGAAAAATATAAGAATTGCCTTAGTGCATGATTATATCCTTTAAAATTGCAAAAAAGAAAAATATTGTGTATCATTGTTTAACTTACATTAGCAGCAGCTACATGCAGAAGTTATGGCCTTTCAGATTTGATATTATACCGTCCAAATGAGGCCAACTTTTTTAAAATGCAGTGTCAAAGTGCTTCCTGTCCTTCAAGCTGGATAAAAATTGCACCAGTGGCATCTGTGATCTCGAGTTTAATCACAGTCTGGCAAGTTGTCGTTGAGATATCACCTACACTTCAGGTCAGACAGACACAACCTGATCCACAGTTGGGTCCCCTCCCGTCCTCTCCCAATTTTTCATCTCACTGGGGGAAACACTGATCAGCAGCAGGGCGGAGGTGGGAGGTGAACGACACGGAAGCACAGCCTCAGAGCCTCAGTTAACAGGCTTTCGTCTTGATGTCATTTAATCTAATTTCCTCGGCAGCTGTGCGACTTTCACCTCTGACGAGGGAAAATAACAGATTTTCTTAATTTTTGGGAAAATATGTCAAGAGAGAACAGCATTTAGAGTTAAAGCCAGCTACATGTCTAGAATACATTCCCTTGCCCAACTGTAAAGTCTGAGTTATGTGATAAGTAAGGTTTCATACATATTTTCAGCATTTTAAATATAAATTTATTAGTGTCAAATATGGTTTGAACTGCTTTCTGTAAAAACTGTACAGGATTCTTTGTGTTCATAAATGATGGTGGGAAGTAACTTAACGCATTTACTCAAATAGTGTGCAATTTTTGAGGTAGTTGTACTTTATGTGAGTATTTCCGTTTCATGCCATTTTAAACTTCTACTCCACTACATTTCACTTTTTACCCCCCCCCCATACTGAACTGACAGCTATATATATATTTATTATAATATTATATTTCCATTTCCATTTCACCCCAGTTTGTACAGTACTTCTACTGCATGACATCTCAGAGGCAAATATACTTTTTACTCCACTACATTTGACAGCTACATTTTCACAAAGATTTTACATAAAAAAACATTTGATGACCTAATAAAACACTGCACATAGATGTAGATTAAACTACCTAACAGGATATTGTAAGTAATTAAAATTGGATCCACAGTAAAACACCACAACAGTATTGATGCTTATACACTAGTGCACTTTGACTTTGATAGTTTAAGAACATTTTGCCAATAATTCTTCTGTACTTTTAATTAAGTCATAGTCGAATGCAGGACTTCTACTTGTACAGGAATATTTTTTTTACATTGTTGTATATGTACTTTTCACTAAAGGCTCTACTTCTTCTACCACTGCCTGTGTATGTCAGATAAATGACAGTAAACAGAACATCAGGTATTTAATGGGTTAACACGAAAACTTGGCTTCAGAGAAAGTTTTAGGAAATGCAAATTGAGCTATATTGTTGAAGATTAATTATCTTCTTTTTCACGCTGTACATGAACATATTCGGGTAAATGGCTTCCTCATGGTATGCAGATATAATGTAGATGCTTGTGGCGTCTGAAATAATTGGGACAGACTTTTTATTTTTATTTTGTCTATAGTGCTGCAATATGCATTTCTTTTCTCTCTGGCACAAGGTGAATTATTTATCCTGACCCCTTCTCATATTGGCTTACATAAGACATTTCACTCATTTTGGTGAGATGACTTCTTAAAAGAAAAAACTATTTCAGCCTGAGGGTGAAGTAGCCTGCATCAAGAATTAAAGTTCATTTTAGGCAAGTGGTACGGTTACAACCTGTGGTTGGATCACATCAGTTGAGATTCGTTTACTTATTTAGATATTTATTCATTTATTCACGTGTGAAAAGCTGCACGTTTTGTCTGTTAACTCACATGTGCCAAGACCTGTAAAGGAGAGCAACACAGAGGGGATTTGCACTCAGTGCGTTTTGGGTTGTTTTTTGGCAGAAAAGGCTGAATTGACAGATGCCATTGGCAGTTCAACAAAGTGTTGTTACTGAGGTATTGTGTTTGCTCTAGGTACTGGTGTAAGCAGATGGCTATATGAAGTAATAATAATACTGGTTAAATACTGGTCATAAAAAAAAGTAAAGAATAGACACCGTGTTGAAGGGCAGAGCAGCTTCTTCAGGGTGTGTTTGCCTCCATGTTTGCTCTTCTTTTTATTACTTTACGTGCATGTACAACAAACCTCTCTGCCTCTGCCAGAGGAAACATATCAGCTGTCTGAACCTCTGGAACCCAGGTCTGACTTCCGAGGTGTCCTCGAGGAGCATCAGCCTATAAGATGCACACCACGTAACCGCAGAGTCCCCAGTTTGAGTCCGCTGGGGACCACTGTTGCATGTCATCCCTCACTCTCTTTTCCAATATTTCCTGTCACTCTCTGCTGTCAGTCTGTCCAAAGAAGGCAAAATGCCAAAAAGAAATGAATCTTTAAGAAGAACAAGTCAGAGGTGGACATGCATGAGAGCAAACTCACTGCTGAGTGCGGGTGAAATGAAAAGGAAAATAAAGGTGAAAATCCTCCAACCCTGCCAGATTTGTTTATTTGTGAGACCTATGATGTCACCTTCAGGAAGATACCAGAGCACTCTGTTTCTCTCTGCATGACAGCATTTTATTAGACAAATGATGACACACTTCACTGTTTGAAGGACAGTAGTATACATTCAGATTAGGTCATCTGTACAGTACAAAGATAAGAGAGATGTGGGAGAGGTGATGTATGACATCCAGTTGTGTTGGCCCAGTGGCCTCACATGTGTGTGTGGGCTTTCACTAGCAATGATTCCCCTGGTTGACAAAACACTGCAGCCTTATTGTGTTGGAGTTATTGATGAGCTCCTTGAAATCTTTGGTCATTTAGCACAGTCTTTATTCTTTTCTTTTTTTTGTTGACTGTGGTTGATAAAGCAGAACCATTCTGTAGTTTTGGCCTCAACAAGAAATGAACAATCACAGAAAAGAGCAACAGATTTGAGCCTTAAAATGACTCTGCTGATTCTAGTCAAAATTATTTGATTTGGATTAGTGATGCCAGTATGAAGAGGCTCACTTTAATGTGTTTATAGCATTAGATTTTGTGCTTTTACACCATGGTTTGCTCCATCAAAGCCTCCGGCCATCTGAGCCTGGGTCAAACTGCTTAATAGTCCATGTGGTGCAGAGCAGGTGTGCTGGAGGAGTCACTGGGGTGGGTACAGTGGGTAAACACTTTATTTAATACTGCATTTGGCATCATGTAACTTAAGCTCCAAACGTCACATTCCTTTCTAGTCTCAAAACTTTTCTTTGAATAAGCTATAAGGCGCTGAAATGACTGCATTTGAGTAGAACCATCTTGATTGCACTGTCTGTAAGGCTGCCCTCAGGTGTCAGACTCAGTGGAAAGGCGGGCACTGGATACACATGAGGTTATTGAGCAGCAAATGTTTCCTTCATGAATCCTCAGAGAGTCTTTACAAACTTGTTCCCCCTCAAGTGGATGGACATGAGACATGGACGCTCTGAGTAAAGCCTTCCAGTAAACAACAGCTTCAACAACACTGAATCTTTGAACAAATGAACACAGACTTCACTTGTCATGTAAATAAACACCTACACATCACCTTTTTTTCAGAACAGGACAACAACATCACATCTCATATATGACAAAAAAGCTGAGGCAGGGTGGGCTGGTTGCTACAGAGACACGCCCCCTGCTGAAGTGTCCATGAGCAAGTCACTAGATCCCTCACCAGGCAAGGGGCGCTGCTCAATAGATCAGAGGACCCCGACCTGTGGGCTCCCTGTGGAGAGGAGCGTCTGGGGGAATGGGGCTGAATGAACGATGACATTATTATCAATACATCCAATTACGCACGGGGAGACACAAAGTTGGAGTCAGTGTAATCCATTGGGTGTGAATGGTGACATCCTGTCAAGGCTGATATCTGCCTCGCAGTCATCCAAGTCACAAACCGAATCGGTGGCGTTTTCATTGTTGTGAGAGAACTGTGAAATCCTGTCAAAAGTCTCTTCGTGCTCAATACATTCAACCACGTTGGGGATCATGTTGACGTAGGCGTTCGCGATTTCCTTGTGGATGAGGGTATCTTGGTTATATGAGACCAGCTCGTTGCTGATGTTAACAGTTTCCACCGGTGTGTTGGAGCAGAAATAGCGACAGCCCAGGAGGCTGGCGAAGGCCTTCCTGAACTCGGCGTTGAAGGCGTAAATAATGGGGTTTAGGGAGGAGTTGGTCCAGCCGAACCACACGAAGACGTCGAACGTCGTCTCGCTGACGCACGGTAGACCCGCGTCCCGGTCTGTGGCGGGCCTGTCGCAAAACGGGACCATGCAGTTTAGGATGAAGAAAGGTAACCAGCAACACACAAAGACACCCATTATCACCGACAGAGTTTTGAACACTTTGGTTTCCCGTTTGATCGACGTTTTCAAGGTGTTGTGGTGTTGGCACTCTATTCTGTTGGTCCTGCAGCTTTGCGCGTGCTCTGCCGCTCTCTCCAGGGAGGCGATTCTTCTAATTTGTATTTGTGCAATCCGGTATATGCGGGTGTAAGTCACAATCATAATTGCCACGGGTATATAGAAACTTATCAAAGAGGAGGATATAGCATACTCTCTGCTCAGGCTGGAGTCGCAGTTTTCCTCCATCTGTCGACTCGTGGAAGAGTTGTGCGCCCCAGCCATGTCATCTCCGCTGGCTTTGTGCCAGTTTAGCTGGACCGGTATGAATGAAATGAGCACAGACAACGTCCAAGTGATGCTTATCATAACAAAGGCAACTCGCTGGGTCATTTTCCTCTCGTAGCGGAAGGGGCTCGAGATGGCCCAATATCTATCCACGCTGATGATGCAGAGGTTGAGAATGGATGCGGTGGAGCACATAATGTCAAAAGCGACCCAGACGTTACAGAAAGTGCCAAACGGCCAATACCCCGCCACCTCTGCTACAGCTTTCCATGGCATCACCAAGATGGCCACGAATAAATCCGATAGAGCGAGGGACACGATGAAAATGTTGGTGACTTTGGTCCGCAGGTGCCGAAAGCGCAGCACCGCGGAGCAAACTAGGATGTTCCCCAGGAGGGTCCATAGGATGAGCAGGGACAGCAGACAGCCCGTCACTGTGCGCACCACCATATCCTTCCTCCCGCCGCTTGTTGCCTCTGTTTCGGTGCTGTTCCACATAATCTCTCCAAGGGGTGCCGGCACAGAGTCAATCCCCTGCACCGATGAGAGATACTTGGCTGGGTTCTCCATGTGGCTGTTCAAGTAAAACTGCAGTCCATTGCTCCGTGCGCGGGGACGGGCGCAGTTATCAGCCACTCACCGCATAGTCTCCATTGACCCGCTCGGTACCCAGCCTGATGTGAAGTGCAAAACAGACGGGAGGAGAGAAGCGAGCGCTTTAAAACAGAGCCGAGCGATGTACCAGGTGCGCGGAGGGGCTGAAACGCAGCAGGCAGTGGCGAGCGCATGTTGCTGCCTGGCCAGTCCGGTTGTCTGACCTGGCAACGTCTGTGAATCTCTCAGTCCAAGATATCCTGAGCGCGGTGTGGGTGAGGAGGGAGTCCCTACAGCATAACACGCACTAACCTACCCAGGGCTGGGCGCATACTCCCTCACGCCTCCTTTGTGCGTTGTGTTACGCACAACAGTGCACTGTTGTAGGATAGGAGTGTGAGGAAGCCCTGAACATTTTGAAGATTTTTTTGTTGGTGGAAACTCCAAATAGCGTAATTAAAAAACTCCAATTCTCCAGAGCTTTCTTCCAATTGTAGATTGTCTATCCTCTGGTGCGCATCACACAATACTGCAGTGACAATATGATGTGCAGGATTAAGTTGTATGTGGACTATATGAAAAACATTTATCAACAACCACTTCCTGTATTTAAAATATAATTAATGTATTGTATTCAGGTTGCAGACACAACCAGCCAGTTCACATATAGGCATATAATCAAGTGGAGGTATTTGTCAATAGAAATGACCCTCACATGCAGCCTAGAGCTGTCCATGGTGCTGAAACACCAGACAGCCCGGAGCATACTGCATGCACTATCTATCTATCTATCTATCTATCTATCTATCTATCTATCTATCTATCTATCTATCTATCTAATCTCAAAAACATAGGATCATAATGCTATTTTACTGCCTTCAAGCATGACTGAGCACGAATTTCATACTTTTATTACTTGCACCACAATCCGTCATACTCCCCCAGCTCAACTATAGGACTCTAGTGCAATTTACAGTATAATTTTGTTGCGTGCGCCATAATGAAAACTGGGTCTTCTCTAATCTTTTTCAGGGTCTCACTGAACATTTGTGGTTGTTTGCCCTCTGACGACCGCCGACTGGAGGTCAGTGCTCGCCCACCTCTCAGAGTTGTCTGAACAGGTGAGTCACATTCACACTCTCAGCGGGCATGTTGAGCCAGGAGCTCCGCGCGCGGTGTGCGTTGTCGTGTGTCTGTGCAACAACAGCAGCAGCAGCAGCAGCGCCGTTTCCGGCTTTGAAACGTCACGGATATTTTTGGATGTGTCTGCGTGCCTGTCAAATTGTTCTGACACTACGTCAAAATAATCTCCCGACGCCCGATGCCAAATTCTCTGGAGTAGGCTAACCTATAATCTGTGGGTGTCATGTCAGGAGCCAACCTGTGTCCGACACAACGTTTGCTTCTTTGCATAAGATGTTATGTTATCACGGGTAATAAATTAATATGCTTAGATCAAAAGTATGACGCTTATGGACGTGTTTGTCTGACCACTGGAGGTACTGACTACTGCGTTTATGTGGAATATTGTTGTTGCATTTAACTTAACTACAAAGGCACAGTTCTGTTTTTGAATTGATGTTATTATTTTGTATACTTTTGTGTTTCTTTTAATTTAACAGCTTCTTGGTTTTTTATTATAATTAATTCTTAGTAAAAAGCAATTTAAAAAAAAAAAATTCGGCCCAGGCTGTAGCACAGGAGACTTTCAAACCTCCTGTCAAACTCTAAAAAAAAAAACCCCCAAAGAAACATAAATATGTGGCGCCATCATGTGGAACAAAGGTCTACCACACTTGCAGCCTGTATTTAGTTCAGAGACAGCTAGGAAGACCCCAGAGTTTTTTTTTTTTTTAAAAAAAGCACACAACATGAGGGGAGACAATATAAGATATGACAGATCTTGTTTATGAAAAAGAAAACTATTCTTTATTTCAATAGGCAAAAGATATACAGTACATTCATCACTATTGTACACATCATTTCATATGAGCACCATTAAATTTGAATTTTGCAAAATTGTATCACAGTTTCTGAATGATTTTGATCAGCATGGCAGTATTTACAGAGGATAAACAGTTATATTACAGTTTGCACCTAAAAAACAAGGATTTAACCACAACTTGGCACATAGTGAGATTACATACAGCAGATAGCACCAGGTTGAGAACTTGCTGGACGTCTGACTGAAATTACAAATTGATTTGACATAAAATTGTACAGTACATCTATATAGTAGCTATATCTGTGCTTTATATCAAGAAGAAACAAGTGATGTCACAGACTGGGTTGGTTTTTACTGCTGATTCTTCGTGAGTAAACATACGATCTCTGGTCTGGTGTAGCAGTTGTGATCATGCCAGCATGTTGTGTGTCAGTTTAATCCTGGAACTACTGTGATGTGCCTTTTCATAACATATAGCATACATGACTTCAACATGTTATCAGTTTATAGAATGGAAAAAAGTAAATTTTTTATCTGACCTTGTACTTCTCAATATACCAGAGTCTAAGTAGTAGTAAATCAAAAACAGTGGTACCCAGTAGCATAATTTTATCATAACTCCCCATTTAGTTCAACAGAACTGAGAATCAGGAAGCAAGAGGACACTGATGAACCTTAAATGACTTCTGAGAACTATCATCCAACTCATAAAGATTACTCAAAATTTAGTGCTATTCTAAGATTGTCACTATCCTTGTAGCTCTTGCACAACATCCATTAAACAATTTTAACTACTAAGTAAAGTAAATGAGAACCTTATCCATATATAGTATACACATTTCAAATGCAGATAAAATTTGGGTCAAGTGGTACAATACACGCGTGGCTTTGTGAAATACAGTACTATTACCTTATTAGATTATATGAAACTAACAAGTGTTTCAGTGGCTTGACTTGTATTTTCAAATATGAAAATCAAGAGAGTTCTAGTCTATACCAGCAGTAACCAATATAAAACGGTACAAAATGTGTGTATCAGATACATCATATACATTTTGCATGAGGCACCAGTGAGAACATCCTACTGAAATGTGATTATAAAATAAAAAGTACAGAGGGCTCTTTTTAAATTCTTGAAACCAAAGGTTCTGTTTTGTTCATCAAGGTCCTTGTGTATACAAGGTAATTCTTCAAGGAACGCAGGCTAATAGGTTTGTTTCCTCTGTAATCCCCACACTGAAGGATCTACATTTTGTTTGTCTCCACGGCTTGCTGTCAAGTCTGCTGGAGTGTGACCCAGACTGCCTCCTGAACGGTTGACCTGCGCTATGAGACTATTTCTGGGAGCCGGTGGTGACAAGTGTTCTTGTGCATGTTATCTGGCATTGTCAGTCATCTGCTATTCTGTCAGACCCGGCGGAACACCTCAAAGAGGGAGGCAACTGAGTGCATGCGGTAGAAAAGGTTCAAGGGAATGGCAAAATTGAGAACCGTTGTCCATATGCTGAAGCCAAATGTCTCCTGTTCCAACCCGTTGTCGTACTGTGGCCGGCAGCCAAAAGCGGGAAGGATCCAAAGCTGAAAGAAAGATAGAAATTAAATTAATTAAACCTGTATTCACTGATTTCTCAGGCACTTGGGAGAAACCTGACAAGCCATAAACACCAGATTAACATATCATCACTTTATAAAGTTGTTAGCTAACATGTTTGTTAGCACCCAGCAGTGGCAGAGCAACATTAGCATCCATTTGAAGTTGTGTTTATGGCCACGTAATGAATGTAAGTTTAGTTCCCTCTTACCTTTGTTTTGATCTTCATTAACTTTTGAGTCAAATATCTGGGTCTTTAGCTCCTAATTTGTCCACTATGTTCACCAGCTAGTAATTAACTTTGATTGTCTGTGATTTAGTGCTGGGCAGGTAGTGTACAGCCAGTTTGTCTGAGGTTTTCCCTAAAAAAATAGCTTCTGGCTGAGTCTGGAAAATAGATTGAGAATGATGTGACTCAACCAAAACAATGAGCGGAAAGGGACTAAAACATTGCATAGACCTGAGGGGAACCAAAGAGTCAGGTGATAATTCTCTGTGGCTTTGTCACTATTAGACACCTCTCACATTACATATGGTTATTGTATCCATTGTCATTGCACTGCTCTTGATAAAAAATTCAAAAACAGGAACATTAAATTGACATTTGGAAGCATTTGAAATGGTTGGTTGCTACGATTTAGATTGTTTACACAACAGCATAGATTGAGTCTCATTTGATTTAATTAAATTTACATACTCACCGAAATGTTGCACATTATCAGGAAGACAGCAATGTTCTTCAGGATTTGACTTTTTATATTTGGAGGCTCCACCACTTTGTTTCCCACAGGCAGTGGCACCTCTGATGGTTTCCTCGGACACCTGTACACCTGACCGCTCTCTTCCTGTTCGTTCTCCATGGTGACACAGGGCCTGTCTGGAGTCTCATAGGCTCGGTTGATGATGCCGTTGTACGGTGGGGCTAAAGAGGAATTCACTGAGAAGATTTCTGGAGCAGATGGTAATTCTGGGTCCTCCCTTTCTCCATCCACTTGCTGGCGGTAAAGAGATTCTGTGATGAAGAGGTTCTGCATGTACTTCTCCAACACAATAAGCAGAGAGTAGATGAAGTTTGTCCAGAGGTAAGGAGGGCTGCTGTTGGAACTTAACACAGCCACTATGCTGCACCAGGACATAAGCCAGGAGCCGGTAGAGGATCCAAACAGCAGCTCCGTGTCCAGCTGTCTTGACGGGTTCTTGGAGGTGTCCAGTGGTATGTGGTCTGCTCGGTATATGAGTAGACCTGAGGCACCGGCAAAGCACATGAACACCAGCATGACAATGCCATAAATGTAGAACATGGAAATGGCTGACTGACGTGTTTGAAGGGACTCCACATGGGTGATGTAGACCACCAGGATCCCAATAGTGCTGGCCAGGGCAAGTAGACCCAGAAGAGGGCCCACAGACAGGCCCTGTGTTTTGGTAGCCAGCCTTTTCTGGTTCGAAGAAAGGTCAATGGTCCGTCCGATGTTCTTCCACATGACGAAGAGCATGGCAGAGACAAAGATGTGGTACTCGATGTTGAAGGGATAGAGATAGTAGAGGCTGCTGGTGAACATGGAGCAAGTGCTGGTGGTGCAGTTACAAAGAGGCTCTGAGTGCACTGCAAAACACATACAAACAGATGCAAAAGCATGAGATATCAGAAATACAAAACAAAACAGTCACACACAATCTCTTCTGAAAGCTAACTTAGATACAAATTTTTGGCTTATTACAAAGCAGTGTCTCCTTGTAACCCCTTCTTAATGCATACTGTATCCACTAGTTGTGTCTAGTTCAACCAAAAAGTGATTTGTCTTTTCTCTACTTGAATAATTATGATTTTTTTTCTTTACATCAGTAGCACTAGAAATGACACTGATGACATCATCATTTCACACAACAGGTAATAAAAAGATACAGCTGGCTTGCATAACTATTAAAGACAATAAAAAAGAAAATCTGTACTTGAGAACAAAAGACATGCGTTCTACTGAGTGCCATTCTAGTTTTGAATGTTTTTAGATTTGTGATGAAACTTAAATTTGAAGCAACTACAAAGACCAGTATTTTTAGTGCAGTGTAACTTTAACATTTGTATCATGCCATATTCTACTGATTTGAATTTGAAATCAAAGTCAATTATTCATCAAAGTCATTAGCTGAAGGCCTGAGCATCTTAGACGCTGATGACAATACACTTTTTATACTTACTCACTCCTTGTAAAGCCCACCCCAACATATGATAGTAATGCTGTCACCCTCTAGAGATTATCTCAACAAAACCCTGCCATGTGCCCCCTCTCAACCCCTCCAACCCCTCACCCCCCAAAGGCCACTACTACGGTCCTGCACGCTTTAATTAAAACAGGAACAACAGTCAGGGTGCAGCCAGCCTCACAGTCAGCCGGATATGAGGAGGAGCAGCCGAACCCCCCAACCCTCGGCTTAGATGTATCAGTTACTGTAATTGCAGCACCCTTGGGAGTAAGAAGCCTGGGTACAAAGCCGACTGAGGTCAAGCGGGGGGTTGCCAAGGAGGGTGGTGGTGGCTGAAGTGTGGGGAAAAGGCTGGGGAGGGGGCCTCAGCACTAGTAACACTATGTGTCCCCTGAAACCTAATAGAGAGACGTTCGACACAAACAAGACTCTCTGGGCCTGCTGGCATAACCTCCCTTCCCCTCACAAACCCTCCTCTCCTTCCCCTTTCTTTCATCCACTGAAGTGAGATCTCAAGTGGACTATTGTACCTTTCTTCTAGGTACAAGCCAGCAATCGACCCCTTGGCCCTTACCTATGGTGAGGTTTCCGTAGCCCAGGGCAGAGAGTCTTCTCATATGATTGTTCAAGAAGTGCTCGGCCTCTGACATCACACCGTTGCACCACAGGAGGAGGTTGGTAAAGACTGCATGGATTACACCGAATCTGAGGAGACAAACAGTTGAAAACAAGATTGATGACCCATCATCTATCAGCATGTGACAGCGTTATGATACAGTTCTCATATTTTGTAAATTTTTTAGTCGCTGTTGAGACATTTCATGACTGATATTTTTATTTTAAGATTTAAGCTCTGGGTGTAGTAAAATTAACATGACAACAACTAAAGCGTGGTTAAATTATAATATCACATATTTCACATACCTCTCAAATGTTTCAAAGCTTTTGATGACATCCTTGATGTGAAACCAAAGGAAATGCACCTAAAAACCAAAAACACAACACAAAACGTTAATATAAAAGGCAAGACAAAACATTATCCTAAATATAGCTTATTAAAACACATTTTGTAAACAGAAAGATCAAATTAAGAAGTATTTAAGTCCCTTTAACAGAAGGATTTCCCATGTTACACTCACATAACATGGACAATGATAGGATTATATTGTTGCAGCAACTCTGTACTCTCAACAACAAAGAGCACATTATTCAAAGACCTACCTGGTTAAATTGTGCACAGAAAAAAAAGACACAGTGTCTAACACTGCTGAAAGATTATCACTTTATTGAAATTAAAGTGGGGTTGTAAACTTGCCTGCGCTATGGTGTGAGTTGCATGGATGACAGGATATACCCCGAGCACAGCCGACACACAAGACTGATAGCCAACATAATACCCGATTCGGAAAGCGTCCATAATCAGTGAAAGGAGTGCAAGGAGAGTCAAACCACCTACCGAGAAAACAGACGGAAAGATCAAGTTATTATTAGCACTGATGACAAAAAAAAATAATAAATGAATAAATATGATTCAATAAAACAAAGTTTGCTTTGCTTATATGGAGATTTTTTAAGCATTGTTTCATTTGTAAATCCACAAACACTTGGATCTAGCAAGGATTTTGGATGATCACATGCAGACTGAAGTACACCACTATAATCTCCGAACACATGGACAAGAATAAAAATTAATTAGCCGTTACGAATTTACGGCTGTAATCTTGCACTTAATCTTACAAACTCACCTCTTATCCAGCATGTGGTGGCGTGGACATCTTTCTCTGTCCGCGTGTTCTTCTGTCTGTCCCGCACCAGGATGTACCACATCATCCAGATCAGCTGGAGGATCATGAGGCAGGTGATAAAGGACAGCAGGTGCACTTCCTTGACCAAGGAGTCATGGTGCGCTATGGCCAGCATCAGCGCAGCCCCGATCAGCAGCAGATTGGTCCCGTACTGTCCGCTGAGAATCTCTGCGTTCTTCCTCGGGTAGTCCCCGGACAGATTGAGTTTTAATTTGGTAAAAATCTTCTTGTCGTGCTCGGAGCTGGACGACGAGGAGGAACTGTGACAGTACTTGTTCAGACACATGATATCCAGACCGCTGTGCTCTACCATGGTGGGAGACATGTATGAAATTCGCAGTACCGAGAGGAGAGTAAAGTCAAAGTCGCGCGCTATAAGTGCACTTTAGGGAAGCCAGGTGCGTAACCTGTTGCTACGAGGTGGGGATTCAGACGGATAGGTACCGTGCCAAACATGCTCATTCAATCTTCAAGGTTCGGCTCAGTGAGCACGCATAGTCTCAATGTCCAGCCTCGCCGAGGATGGACTTGATAGATGCCATTGTCATCTTGAAACCCTGAAACTGAAATATCTGGTCGTGTAACAGGCTCGCTGAGTCACTGAAAATGGGAGATTGCGTTTCAGTCTTTGGTGATCCCAGACCCCCGTCCTCTTGAAACCCCCATATGTTTCAGAGAAACCACTGGGCTCGCTGTGCCAACCATTCACCGCCTAAAAAAAGCAAAAACACTAAGCACGGAATTATCCACAATAACATGAAAAAACGAGCTTCGCCAAAAGCCACCTCTTCAGGGAGCTGCCAGCCAGTCTTTCCAGGTCTGCTGAAATCCTCTCAGGCTGCCTATCGGATGTTAAAGCCTAGATGACATGAAAATGAAGATGGCATTTCACGAACCTGCGATTTTTACAGGCTGGAGAAACGTGACCTGTCCTGACTTAATGCGCTTCAAATCCAAGTGCCACCTCCTCAAACTAATATGTCCACTGGTAGTGGAGATGTGGTTGTTTGCTTTGAGGTTGGAAAAAAAAAGAATCAGATTTCAGTGGTCAAATTCACAATAGCTTTTTGTGAGTGGATGTCAAGAGAACTTTGATACCATTCAGCACAGAGCTCTCCTGGATATGACCATGTAACCTCTGGTTCAATTTAAATAGCCTGGGACGGATGCACGCAATCAGCATGACAATAGAAAGTCTGCTGACACAGATTCATAGGTGATTGGTGTGATACGAATTTGTAGGGTGGTGGTATTAAGGACCCTTTAATCATTTAATCAGATTTCCTTTAAAAACAATTATAGCTCATTTCAGAAAAAAAGTGTAATTAAAATGTAAAAAACAACTAGGCAAACTGATACAATAGTTCACAATAGTTCCTATTCTGCTTTGGGAGTCTCCTCAGTCCCTCAGGACTCTTTAGTCAGCCTTGTCAAACAGTTTGTACTCAAAAAATGCATTTTTTTAAAAAAAAAAAAACTTGACAACCATTGAAGCAAATGTTAGGGATACTTAGTCAATACGCACAAGTAATAATAATAATAATAATAATAAATAGTAACTCATTTAACTTAATGTGAATAACAGGAGCCCTGACAATTTACAAAATATAACTTCTCACTCATATTAGTTTTGACCGTTTCAAACAAACCTACAACACGTGAGGTAAAGGTATTTTAAAACGAAGCAACAATAAACATTTTCATTATCTTACTTCCTCGACAATTTATGAGGTTTTACTTAAGGTAACCATTTTGCAGGCAATTTACAGCATGAACTCACAGCGGTGACAGTCATGCACGAGGAATAATAGTGCGCCAGTACACACACACACACACAAGAGCCTGTCTTCCGCGAGCGCATCCGTGCTTTGAGGGACAGTTTTACAGTTGTTGGTCGTTTCAAACACACTGCCAAACACTTGTAGGGTCCAGGTCTGCCATTTAACACGTTTTTATAATCCAAACATCAATTATGCTTTTTTTCCCCCAGTAGCGCGTGGAGGAAAACAACAAACCGCGAGCGAGCGAGCCCTGCGCGCGCAGATGTGGCGTTGTAAATTGGCGTGCGCATTAGATGAGTATTGGATTTGGTTAATCGTAATTTGGGGAGGACGCAGATAACCTTTCAATTTTTTTTTAAAATTTTGCTAACCTTCTATCTCTCATTGGCTGGAATGTTTTTAGCAAAGACACACGACAGCATCACGAGGGTTGGAGACATGATCAATTTATGCTGCTAAATGGCTCATCTCAACGCCATCTGCCTCCCAGTATTGATTTCTTGATCACCGAGAGTCAGCGCGACAAAGACAGAGTAGTCTTAAATCTATTTGTTATCAGGGACCTTTAATGGCCGCCTGATTAAGAACTTTTTTGATTGAATTTGGAAGCCTCTTATTTGCTCACTGATATTTGCACAGCAGGGGCATCACTGATGCTGAATAGAGACTGAGGACAAATCATTAACAGTCTGACTCACCAAAAAAGCTTTGTCATTTTTAAAAACAAAGGTTTTTAAAAGCTGAAGATCAAATAAGTTCAATAAATTTGAGAGGGAAACAATTCTACAATTTACTCCAATAATTTGAATTAACAAATATAGTTGCTTTGAAGATTTTATAAAATCATCTTATAAAACAATATTATAGATAATAGAGCCATGCACTACTTTGATCAGCTACAAGATTAAAATTCTGCATATTGTTGCATCACTGATAATAATCCAATGACATAAAACACAAGACTATGCCAGGTGCCATTCTGCATGATTACTTTTGATACTTAATTTTCTTTATAAATGTGGGCTTTGACTTAAGTATAATTTTAAATGCAGGACTTTAACTTGTGATGGAGTATGTTTATATGATGTATATACATACATATTTCTGTATTCTGTGTACTGAAGATTTAACAAATAAAAGTCTTCCTTAATAACAGGCCTGTGAAATCCAGTAAATGGAGTCTGCAAAGCTCAAATAATTACATTGAGCAAAGGAATTTGATTAGTATGGCTGGTAACAATCGCTTCAAAAATGAACCTGCATCAACATCTCTCTGACAGTGTCAAAAGTGCATTGTAAGATTCACACAGGGCTATTGTATTGGATTGGATTAGATTTGATAGGTGTATTACTGGTAACTGAGTCTTACTATAGTTATCTTAAATGCAGAGCTAATAATATGTGTAACAGGTCAGTATAGAAGATTAAAATCTAATTTGTAATGTCTTCCTAGTCACAGATAAGTCTTTAATCAAGTTGGGCCTCAGTACTGGATTTAGCAGAGTTTTAGTTGCAATCACATTTTCCAACTTTGCATCTTGCACTGTCGTAAATGTTGGTTTTGTTCACTTTTGCTTTTTGTCAATTAATAGCAACAATTATACACAGTCATTGAAATTAGTTATAAAAATTTATTAAAGACAAAAACATATTTACAGGATATAAGCAGACATCTTTACATACTTCCACAAACTGCTTAATAAAAATAAAAATTTTCAAAACTTTGTTGGTTTTATTGACAGTTATAAATAGTGGAACATATTTACACACACTTTAGCACAATAGGCAAATTTCACAGAGGACACTTTGACATGTCACAGCAGGAAAAGCAAAGGTGTACATAATGGAATTAATAATGGCTGAATTTCATTTGGTGGCTTCAGTTTTAGGGTCCCAGTACTGTACATGCTCGCTCACTGTCATGACTCACTGGTAAACCTGAGCAGAACATAGCCATTATTAATGTTATTACAGACACCTGTGCTTTCTCTACTAGGACAAGTCAACATGTGTGCTGTGAAAAAGGCCTATTCTCAAAATTGTCATTACAGGTAAGTTTCATGTACTGTGTGTTTGATTCTGAAGAGAAATGTGTGTTAATGTGTCAATGCCATAAGCAATAGAGGAAAAAGTATAAAAACAAAACTCAACATTGCGGTTAACAAGGTGTCATTCTGGAGCTGCAAAACAAAAGAAAAGCTTATGTAAAGTTGAGATCCAGGTAATTATGCAACCTTTAATTTCACTCCACATATTTGTTCAACATCGCCAAATACAATGTTGACCATTCAAAATGTGGAAATTGAAAGTCTCATCCTCACCTGTCACATTCATCCAAGCAAAGAGATGAACATGACTACACCCATGAACTGTGTGAAGAGGATGAGTGGAGTGAAGAAGGACCACACTGGCCATAGTGCTATATTAAAGCTGCAAGAGAAGGATAAATATCAATTACAAATATGCACAAAAGTTGAATTTAATGAGAAAAAGAAAGTGTTTGATTATAAATTACTGCAGACAGATGCCTCCTACAATGTAATATTTAAGACATAATTCATCAGTGAACCATAGCTTATAATGTATCCACTTGATAAGAAACTGGAAGTAAAGGATTCCCAGAAGGCCAGGGACACTTACATAGAAGACTGTGGCAAGCTATTAAATGGCAGTAAATCTTTATTGACTAGTGCTAACACAAAAACACTCACAGGAACCAACAGCAGCATACAAAAACAAGCTTCAACATGCACAAACGTACTCCACTCCAACAGGTTGTTTTTTTGCATTTTAAAGCTTCTCACTTTCTTCTAATCACTGACTCCAATCAACCATGTGAATGACACAAATTCACATGAAAATGGACTCACCATTTAAACAAGGTAGATTAGCTGATCACAGGACAAAAAAAGCTTAATGGCCCATCAATTAATATAACCATTGAGACTCGAGATGTCATGGATCAAATAAGTAGTATTAGCCAGGAATAACATGTTGATGGACAAGCTAACGGGGCAATTTCAATTCATACTTGATTAATTAAGCCATTAACAGTCATGGTTATTTCCCTTCTTAACTGCTCATCAACCACAAACAATCCTATATTTACAAAATGAAGAGGTGAAGCTGGTAAAAGCCCTTGGCAAAGGTCCCACCTGGTGTCCCGAAGACATGCAGATCTATTTAAAAATTACTTACCTTGTCCTGATTTTTGCTGGTATACAGAGACATGGTAGATGGATTTGCACTTGTGTAAATAATATCTGAGATTTTAAAGCTTTGCTGGTTCTACAGATCAGTTCAACAAACTGTCACTGACTGGTTAGTTCTTTATGCTTCAGATAAACGAAATAAAGCATGTTGCAATTTAGTGCAACCAATCTCACCAAGACCACTTCTAACATGAGTTTAAATATATTACATAACCACACAGCTTTTTTAAAAATGATTATTGCTCTTTAGACAGGAAAGTGGGACATATATGAACACATCCACACAGTCCTGAGAAGACGTCTAATGAGACAAACTAAGTGAAAACACCTTTGTTGAGTGTACAAGGGGTATGTGAGGACCATTTAACACCATTAAGAAATATTTGATATCAACACTTAATCGTTGACTAATGATTATGGAGCAAGTTGCTATTACTGGAGAACCAACTGAGAATCACCCCCAGCAAATTCCAGCAAAGAGCTATCTGTCCTGAGGGAAACAGCAGAGAGCTGAAGTAAAGTCACTGACATAAAAGCTTATAGAAAGCCAAAGGCCCAGAGCTAAAAGGCAAACTAGAGTCTGTTTAAAAGGCTGGCAAACACACCACACCCCACATACTTTTTTGTATTTGTGGTCTAGGTCTCTTTTTTCGTGGTCTGGGCTAGGCCCCTTAGTTCAATTCAAGAGAAATCTTTAAGTTACAGCATAGAATGACATTTTAGACAATAGTGTGCTTCCAGCTTTGTGGTAACAGTTTGGGGAGTGCCCTTTTGTGTTTCAACATGACAGCTAAAAGGCAGAGGGATATTAGATTTTTGAGGCAGATACCACTGTCAATATATTGTCTCTCCTCTAATGATGTGCTCAAATAGTTTAAAACTGTTAAATTAAGCACATTTAAAAAAGGAGAGGCACAAAATGTCAGGTGTTGTTACAACATAAATCCAAAGCTGTTCTACAATCTTTGCTTTCTACAACAATATCCTATAGTCTGTTATTATGAAATTGAAAGCATTACAACTTGTTTTACCTGCATGATGCAGCAATAAAGGCTGCAGTGGTGAGGGGAGGAATGGCAGGGTACTCTTGGTCATAGTGCTGAATGCCTTTGAACCACTCCAGGTATACAATGCAAAACATGGCCAGAGACAGGCAGATCCCAAGGAGAACCAGGCCCACATTGAACCACCAACTGGAAAAACAGGGGTTAAAAGAGGTAAAATTTGACACAGTCTCATCTGTAAAGATTTATTGAAGCTATTCAATTACAAAAGACCGGTCTTGTTAACAATAGCACAAAAGTTTGCCAGTCATCTGTATCATTTACTAGTGGTACCACTGAAAAAGAAAAAACATTTTTTATATTTGATGTTTTCTATGAGCAACCACTTTCAATAACAACAGAGGCTTTTCTAGAACAAAGCTTATTTTGTGTATAGATCATTTATAGAAAATAAAAACAGCTAGTGTGTCATTACTGTAAACTTAACATAAGTCACAGTGGAATAATTATCTAATGTTTTACTTGCTTAACCGCACATAACACTACCGACTACCTGGTACACTTGATTGACTCATTTTATAATGTATGGAATAGACAGTGTGTGAATGAGATCTGCAGGGAAATTTGTGTGTCTTCCTCATAACTCAGTCACCTTTTGATATCATCATTCTCCATGATATTGTGGAGGAAATCCACATAGTAGGTCACACCTACGGATGCCACGATCCAGAAAATGGAGTGTCTGTTAATGCGAGGGAGAGGTTTGGCATCTTTTTCCTCCTGACCTGAAAGGTAATAGAAAAGAAACAACTATGTCCAAAATTCTTAGAGCAGGAGTTTCAATCCAAGCATCCACTTTGAGAGCATGATTCACTGAATGCGGACTTTAAAAGTAGAGATCTAAATACAGATTAGTTTGACTAGTCTTAAAATGTTTTACCATTAAATACATCAGACATATATAGCGCATTAGTGGTAGTATTCAACACTAACACACTGCATAACTGAAAGTAAATTAAATACTAAGAGGCACAGAAAGAGTTACAGTATGGAATATAATTTACTACAAAATATGAGATTTGTCTTGCCTTAACAGAATGTGCTAAATCCCCACCTTTCAGGTTTAAGCAGCTTTTGAGGTGAAACTGATAGTTTACTTTGAGATAATCTTACTTCTCAGAAAGCCATTAATCTCTATAATTTGCTGGTTGATTAAACATATCAGAGCCTGTTGTTGGCTGCTGAAGTGCTTCAGCATGCTGGTCTACTCTGTGAAGAGTTCACAATGAACTCCATGCCTCGGACAAATAGTTGGTCTACATCTTTGGTCAAAAGTTATGTCTAGTGTCTTATAGCAAGTCACCTTGCCAGAAAGACCACTGACGGTATGTAAACTGGAATATACGCAGCCATTTATATGAAAGAGATAACCACTGGACAACTGTTTGGTCTGTTGCTTGTATTACAGTCATCAGTTTACACTGGCAAAGAGATGACCCTTGGACTGGTGACAGCATAGGAGTAATGTTTCACTGTACTATGTTTCTGAGCTGACACAGCGTTTGCTCACAGTCAAAACAATCAAGAATTGGTGGATATCTGCCAGTGGAAGCCTGAAAATTGGACAATTGTCCACTGTACAAGCTGCCTACAAACCCCCTTAGACTAAACATGTTGCAGTCAAAATCAGTGACAATCAGTCAGCTGTCAGGTATTAGGTACGGTTTACTGCAGGGCTGCTGTATTACATTGCATTCGTTTTAGCCAAGAGTTCCAAATAAACTGCCAACTGACTGTATCTTTATCATATATTTTTAAGGGTCGAGCATCTAGTAGTGAAAGGAAAACGTCAAGTTGTTTAAAGACTATGTTGACTACAAAGTGACCATTCAACAAATTTAACCATAAAAGTTAGCTACTTTTCTGACAATAATGTTTGCACAGGTCAGCCAACAAGCTGAATTCATTTGACACTATGCCACTAGCACGTACAGTAGGAACGTTAACGTCCAAACCAGAGCTGTGTAACGTTACCACTGTCACAAAGTTACCACCGGTTAAAGTTGGCTAATAATGTTAGCTAGCATAATGTTTCTGAAGCTTACTCTTTTCATCTTCGTCACCCGATGTCGTTGTTTGCATAAGAAGCTCCGCATCTCTCTTAAATCTATTCCGCAATGTTGCCAGCTCGCTATCGTTAAGCATTGTGTTGATGTTATCATTAACTTGCGTTAGAAGCTAAAAGCTAAGTGCTAACTAGTGATTACAAGGCACTCCCTGTCAGAGTCGCTTTTTAATGACGCACTTGTAAACGACAATTGTAGTTTTTGTCTTTTATTTTGTATTAAAATAACGGAATTAACTAATTTCAAGGTATAGAAAAACAATAAATACATATCAGGTAAACAAACGAACATATTTAAATATATAACTATTAATTGTATCATTAAGATCAAAGGTTAAAAAAGAGCACAGTTAAATTTTTAAAAAGGAGATCTCCAGAAAGTTTTATTTATGTATTAAAGACAATGCATATTTTTTTTTAATCCTGAAATTTTTATTTATTTTTTTGCTTTTGTTACATGTGCAAATACATAAACTAAACTAACCTGTCACGGTCCACAAAGTCCCTTCTGAATATAGAAAACAATGTTTAATTTTCCTCCATTTACATGCAGGAATACAATACTTGGCTAAGCGTAGCAGGTTATTCAATATCAAACTCACACTGTGATCATTACATTTAAAGTAGGAGCATAATAACTTATTGCTACATCAAACCTTTTCCAAAAGGGAAACACTAGTGTGTGGTTCAAATACATAATAAGCATGGTTCATTATCTGTACTCTAATGCAGAAAACCATGTTAGATGCAGTAACTTGAGATAAATAACAAACGTAATAAGTGCATTTTGTGTTTATCTTCCTGAAGGACTATCTTGATACAAACAGCATTAAACAAGCTGGATCAAACTGGAGCTTTTGGAAAAAAATATACCCTCAAAAGAGTGAGTGAGGATATTTTCACAAAAACGTCTGACCAGGCAGATTTGCTCCCATCCTTCATAAACTTTGCAGAATGCATAGTCACTGGCTGTATTCCAAAGTTTATCTTGAATGTCTACCTTTACATAGCGCTGGCAAGAATCTGACACTGTAGATACCTTTGTCCTATTTCACTCTCAATTAAAAACTTTCAACGAGGCAGACAGGCCATGTGCAGTGAAGAAAAGTGAATAATACTTTATTGTTGGCTGTTACCACTCATTCTGCATTTCAGAGCAAAACAGTCACAACTGCCTACTTTTGTGCTTGTTTATGCTAATACAACAGTACAACAGGTCGAGATAGCTCTTTAAGTCACAGAACTGAAAACTAAATAATCTCATACACAGAAATATCAATCAAAGGCTATCTAGCTAACAATTGCAATTTGCAATTAAAGTAAATACCCAAGGTATCCTTTTACTGGATAAAGACATTGTTCAGATATATATGGCTGCCATTAAGATCAGAACTCAGAGATGAAACTGCCTGATGCACAACATACTGGCCAAATGAAATGTTGATCTGGCAACCAAGATTTATTTTGCAACAGTAAAGACAAGCTTAGTTTCAGTTTTTCTGGGTATCCTGTGGGGTCTGGAATAAAACAAAGCATTAAGGAATACTGAATCCCAATGAGGACTAGAAAACACCATTTTAATACTCACAAACTTGAGTAACAGCTTGACTAATACCCAAAGTATGCAATATACAATTACAGGTAAGCAGTGTGATGAATGAGCATCAGTGTTAAACCTGCTGGGATTAGCAGAGCTTCATAAAGCTAGGCAGATTTCCTCCTGTAGCTGTGTGTGTGTGTGTGTGTGTGCGTGTGCGTGTGTGTGCGTGTGTGTGCGCGCACACAGGGTACAGAGACTGCTCATTCTAGTGGTGGAAAAATCAGACAGCATTAAAACTTCACCTGAGGCTGACACCAAGCATCTTGCTTCTATGGAGCTTCTGTGTCCCTGGCCAAGTGAACCCCGTTCGGGGTGCCGAGGAATGTGCATTAGCTTCGTCCCGTGTGAGAGTCAAATTCACCTCAGGTGCACCTCTCCTGTTTCCCTTCCCCCACTCCAACATCCAATCCCACAGATAAGGTGCCATTTCCCAGCCCTACCGTGGGCAAGGAATGTAGAAGAGAGCAACCGTCTATCACAATTGTCATTTTATACATTAAAAAACATTAACACATTCTGGGGTAATTTGTAAAACTGTACCTGAAATCAGGAACAAGACACATAATTCAGTGATAAAATGGTTTAATCTTTGAGATTATGTCATCTGTATAAAAACATCCAAGGGAGGATGACAGACAACATTATGGCCTTTACATTTCAAAAGTCTATGAACAACACACATTTCATGTGGGACGGGTGAGACAAACAAATCTACTTTACAAGTCTAACTCTGTCTTTCAGAACTCTAAATTTAGGATTGTTGTTGATCTTCTTGTTGAACAGTACTAGAACCTCCTCCTCTGTTTTAAAATTTCCATCACCAGTGAAAGAGTAGTAAGCTGCCAAAACCTGTGAAAGAGGAACAAGCTCTTAATATCACATCAAATCAAAGACAGTTCTAATAATATTTATTACAAGAACATACTGGGTAAAGAAGTCAGATGGGATGCCGTACAAACATAGAACTATAGACTTATGCACACAGTAATGAAAACACTCCATGCCTCACCTTCTTCCTTAGTTTCTTCACTGGCAGCTCCTGGTCAGGTGAGTCTCTCAGTACTGCCTTGATATTCCCCTTCCAGTTGAATTTGCCTGTAAGTTGATCAGAAGCATAAATTAGCTTCTGGTATGGAGAATATTCATTGAGGGTCATTTTCTCACTGTCAACAAAAACAACACTGACCCCTGGTGGCTCAAAGTCACCAAACCATGTTACCTTTGGAGGCTGTTTGATCCTCAGTCTCCTCTGACATGTCTATATCAGCAGCCTCTGCCGTTTCATCAGCTGGGAAAAGGACAATAAGAGTTAGATAGTAAAGTAAATCCTGAAATATATACTGTACGTCTACACTTTTCACTTAAAACATACATTTTTGGGTGAAAAGAAAGACAATGGGTCATAATTATAAAGAGTTTACTTTTAAATACAAAAAAATGTGTTATGTTAACAGGTGAACATAAGTATTTGATTTCTTCAAAATCTTAATAATTTACCAAAACAAACTTTGCAAAGATGCCGATGCAAACGGGGCCATTCCACATTGTGCGTATCAGAGAACTACTATTAACAATATACTGACAGGATAACTCAACAAAACTATGATAATGCGCGAACCTTCAGAGTAATCTGACTTACTCTTTGTTTTCTTGCTGGATGCCTCATTTTCAGCGCTGTGCCCATTCTGCTCTTCATCTCCGTCCTCTTCACAGTTGTGCTTTCTCTTTCTGTCCTTTTTTTTCTTCTTGCCTGTCTGCTCTTCCTCTGGCTCTTGTGTGACTGTTTTTTCTGCACCTTTCAAAGCTTTCCCGTTCTTCTGTTGACGAGCCTCTTTACGCTCCCGTTTGTTTAGTTTCTTCTTCTCAACATTTGGCTGGCCGTTTTGCTTTTCATTTTCATTAGTATCCACTTTGACTTCAGCCACTGTCTGTTCATCTTTTTTGGTTTGCTGGGGGACCTCCGGCACCTTGTCAGATTGCAGGCGGGTAAAGAAAGTCAGTTTAGATATTGAAAACATGGGAAACTTATTTTTCTGTCCATGACAGAATTTAATACAACCAGACAGCAGAGGGAAAACTGCATATTGCTGCTATGTCTTCTCCCTATCTCATGGCATCAGATCAGAACTGCACACCAACCACTTCAAATGCAGTAAAGACTCTGCATTACTGCATTACTATGTTATTATGGCAAAACCTGAAAACCTGAGTTATACCAACCATTTTTTTAATACAAACATTAACTTGTGTGAGCATTATTTGTAGCAACATTCAAATTTACAAATAGGACAATCATTCCAGTAGTGTATAACTAAGCCAACATGTGATATTACCTAGATGAAAAAGTAATTATTTGTAGCAGGTTTTCAAAGTATTGGAGCCAATTGTTACTTTTGAATTAGATTTGTACAATGAACTGAACTAGCTAATACTACTCGTTCTCCGTATCTGCTCTATGCTAACACACAACACACAAGGAAAAACCGGTTAAGAGTCAAACAAACAACAGAGTAACCTTTGAGCAGTGCAACTTACATTGTCAGCTGCAGCAAAGATGTCCCAGACTTCATCGTGAAGGCTGGTGTTGGCTATTTTAAGACTGTTTCTCATCCAGTTCTGAGGAGGAATCACAGCATGACAATAATGAGGCCACATGCAAGTCCCCATTCCCACTGCACCACACTCTGATCAATAAAGCATTACATTGTTGTTAAAGTTTGAAGAAACACCAACCTGAAACTTGGCCCTCTTTCTCGGGACGTTATCATACGTACTGACTTGTCTGAGCACATCCTTCAGCTTTGCACTGACCCCAGGTTTATTCATGGCATCGTGGATTCTCTTCAGTAAAAGAAATAAGTTAGAGACACCATCCTGACTGTAAAGCTTTTCATGGAAATGGGCGTCATTTCTCTGCATCTCACCTGGATCCACTGCTGCTGTTTCATGTCTCCTTTGTTTGCCTTAGCCTCGTAGCCTTTGCCTCCATACTTCTGATCTTCACTGATGCATTTATTGTGGTTCTTGTAGTCATCACCCCTGTTCAACACGTACAAGGAAGCGACATTTTGGGATTAAATGAAGCTTTCTGTCTATTTAGGTTACACTCAGCTTGAGTAAACAGTAAAGGAGAAGACAGTAAACACCCGGTCATTACCAGAAATCTTTTCCACAGTCGATACAGGACAGCACCTGGCAGCCCCAGCACATGTTCACGTGTTTATCAACCTGAGCTTTTTTCAACGATTCACCGCACGCGTTGCAAGTGAAAAACACCATTTTGAATTACACTTATAGAGCTAGATGACCTACAGTAAACCAAGTCTGCTGAAACTAACGGCACGAGCGTTTAAAACGGAACAGGTAAAGTCCTGATGCGACACCCGACCGTCCACAGCACTGACACGAGCTAATGTTAGCCAAATGAAGGCAGGCAACTTCACCCGAAGCTAGCAGATGAGGAAATAAACCAACAGCGGGGACTAAAGGAGGGTTCGTTCAAACGTATAAATGCGGCAAGTCACGACGTTAAACTCGTTTTGCTTCAAAATCGCATTTGAAAGCAACGAGGCTCCTGCTCTTTTCCATCCATGCAAACTTTTCAAAACACACGTGACCACACCGACGGTCGCCGTGGCTGCATTATTAGTCTTCCGTGTGCAAACGCAGCAAAAGATAAGTTCCTACCATATTGAAGCAGAATATTGTCTAAACGTTTTGTTTTGTTTTGTTTTGGGTTTTTTTTACATTGAAAAGTTATGTACAGCGACTTTCATCGTGTCAACTACACCATCTTATCACGTTAATATGTATTACATAGTCATACTGCAACACACCCATAATCCTTTTTTTGTTTCTGTTTCATGTTTAGGCGGCCCGAAATACAAGCTGCACCAGGATGTGATGCAAGGTTATCGCACTAGAAAAAGTGACCGATCATCCAAATAAAAGGTGGAAACCTTTAATCTAGGTTTGGACTTATCTTTATCACTAACTACCCGGAACTAAAGATATTTATGACTTTCACTTTGTCATTCTCTGACGCTGCACCGATTCACGCCGCTGTGGTTGGTTAGCATAGCTTTGTAGTTCGCTCGTTAGCAATTTTCATGCAATTTTTGCATGGGTGGTCTCGTCGCACAGACACACTGGATTCTGCGCGGTTGTTGAATTATGTATATGAATAATACATCCGTGATATTAACATTTGAAAAATGTTGCCAGCACTTGCTTGCATCACTTTTAATCGGGTTGCATTTCAAGGACCTGACAAGAGGAATAATTAACTTCATAATAAGTGACTTTCTTTATTTCGCCTTAGCTAGCTTTTTGATGGAGAAGTTGGAGCTGAGTGGTTCAGCAGCTGAGTGACCATGGACACCCTGTCCAGCCACAGCTCCTACCTCCTGCAGCAGCTCCAGGAGCAGAGGATTCAGGGGCTGCTGTGTGACTGCATGCTGGTGGTCAAAGGTGTCTGCTTCAAAGCCCACAAAAATGTCTTGGCTGCTTTCAGCTCCTATTTCAGGTGTCTTTATATTTATCTTTATGTATTTAATGTAGTGGCACATCAGTGAACTTGTGTGAATATTCACTCATTTTTGATCTTTTCAGGTCTTTGTTCCAAAACTCACCTAGTCAGAAGAACGAGGTGTTCAACTTGGTTATCCAGGACGTCAGTGGCATCGGTCAAATATTGGACTATATGTACACCTCCCACCTTGACGTCAATCAAGATAATGTACAAGCGCTCCTGGATATTGCTCAGTGCTTGCAGGTTCCAAACGTGCAGAGCATGTGTAATTCTTTCCTCAAGCCTTGTCCTCCACCAGTGGAAATCCCATCATTTTCTCTCCCAGGCATGTTGAGCTCTGAGCACGACTGCCTCTTGGGGAGCAGTCTTCCTCACGATGTTGACCTCCACTGCTCCTCTGAGGCCCAGAGGCCCAGCCTCAGCAGTGACGTGGACCATGCCAAAAGGGTGTCAGTTTCTGTGCCAAATAGCAGCTCAAACTGTGACACACCTAGCAGCAATCAGGCACCTGTAGAAAAACAATTAGTTCATGGCTACAAGCTCCGTAACTTCTACAGCAAGCAGTACTTCAAACAAAGCGCAATTCAGACTAATATTGCAGCCTCAAATCAAGGCCCAGGTCCTTTGGTGGTGATGGAAGAGCAGCACTGTCAGCTCGGGGTCAACCAGGGAGGCAACAACACACCTGTATGCTCAGGAAACACAATTCAGCCAAATCCTCCCAGCACATCTGTGGCTGCGGAAAAAAACCCTGTCTCCACTTTAACACCCTCAGAAAATTTAAACACACCCAACTCTGACTCAACAGACTCCATGCTCAACAGGCCAGTGCGCCCAAAGAAGGCTGTGTACCTGAAAAAATACAACTACCTGAGGTCTCAGAAGGCTTTGGAAGAGATGTGTGCTGAATCTGTCAGTGAACCCGTCCTCAGCTGTCCCAAAGAGAGTCATCAAGAAGAGTCTTTGGTTCAGACTGAAACTCCAGAAGTTCCCGTCGACGGCATTACTGCAGGTGGTGAGAAGGTTCCTGAGATGGTGACAGATGCACAACATCCCAGTCCTCCACCTGTGACCCAGGAGGAACAAAAGACAGTACCAGAGCCACAGCAGCAGACGGGACATAAGCAGTATTGCTGTGATGTGTGTGGGAAGATTTTCAAACACCCGAGCAACCTGGAGCTGCACAAGCGCTCACATACCGGTATTGTACATATATATACTGTATAATTACCTTATTAGCACCCATGATATACAATAACACATTTCAGTTAAACTGATGATTTTGTAGGTTTAATTGTATTGATATATCAGACCTGAATCTTCATTTCTTGCTGCAGGTGAGAAGCCCTTTCAGTGTAATGTTTGTGGGAGAAACTTCTCACAGGTACAGTCTGGTGTATTATTCTGATTTGGCATAGTTGTTGTTGAGTGGTCAGATTATTCTGACCTTTGTAAGGATTTTTTGTTTTACAGGCTGGAAATTTACAGACCCATTTGCGGCGACATTCCGGAGAGAAACCGTACATCTGTGAATTATGTGGTAAAAGGTTAAGTATCTCCTATTAATACCTTTTCCTCGTTTATATTTATTTTTTCCCTCATTTTTCTTCCCCTGTATAAGTATTTTTTTCAGTCAGTTTTCTGCTGATTGTATGTTTATGTGTCTGCCTTTACTAAGAAAAAATGCTTGATAGTTTCCAAAGCCGGGCAATATAGAATGATAGGCACACTAATAATTATTTTGCATTTGATAATACCATCTTGAAAGGAGCCATCTGTAAGTTTTGCTATTGCTATATAGCCAACTTTAGCATTAACAGCTGTTTACTTATCAGTCTGGAAGAAACGTCGAAAGTTCAGCATCAAACTAATTTCCTCTCCTCGCCAAGAGCTGCCTCCAGCCGTGGAGAGAAGTCCTCTTTTTATGCTTCTCTTTCTATCACTTCTTCTCTTCTACTGAAGTTATGCTAACAAGCTACCTCCGACTCCACTCTGCCCGTCTCATCATTTTCAGATACCGAGCCACTCTAGTGTCCAGTCTGCCCTGAAGAAGTAGTGCTGCTCAGAGGGCTTATTATACCCTTTTATCAAGGGGTTATAGTACCTCTCGTAAACAAAACCATGGCTAAAGCTCTTGGCAAGACTGGTAAATAAACAACTGTTAATGATCATGTTGGCTATGTAGCAATAGCAAAACTTTTAGCAAAAGTGCTTGACAAATATAAAAGGAGAAAGGGAGTTAAGACAGACACAAATCAGTTTAAAAGAAAAGAAAGAAATAATAAAAAAAGAGCTAATTAAAAGCGAAATTGAACAGGTATGTTTTTAGACGTCATTTTTAAATGTCCACTGAGCCTGCCTCTCTAATATTTCTTGGTAGGGTTTTCCATAGTTTAGGAGCATAATGAATGAAAGCCGCTTCCCCAGTTTTATTTTGGGGGACTTTTGGAATATTTAGAAGCCCTGCTGCAGCCCTGCAATAATAAAGAATTTGTGGTGATGACTGACTGAACTGAATCAGTTCCTACAATATATTAATCTGTGGGTTCCAGCTTTACAGCATCAGGGGATGTCCATCGCCACAAAGTGGTCCACACAGGAGAGAAGCCACATCTGTGTGATATATGTGGTCGAGGTATGTGACATCTCTCAACACAAGAAATAGTCATCATTACACAACACCTAATATTCTCTACATAGTTGTATGATCTCATTTTTTTTTTAAAAAAACATGAACCTCTTCAAACAATTAACCCTAGCTTGCAGAATTTACAGAGATCCCATCTGTAAAACTGACCCACTTTGTGCTCATGAGATTGGTGTTTCACTCTCTGTACATGTTTATTGCTCAGGATTTAACAACTTGAGCAATCTGAAGGAGCACAAGAGGACTCATGCCACAGACAAGACTTTCACCTGTGACCAGTGTGGAAAATCTTTCAACACGCACAGAAAGCTTCTGAAGCACAAGGCTCGCCACGCTGGAGAAAAACCACACAGCTGTGCCACCTGTGGTAAGGAGCAGTCTGAATCTACTTTGAAAATATTATTCACGTTTTGGTTTTGCAGATTCCTCTAGAGACGTGACTGGATTATAAAAATGTATCATATTTAATAATGAAAAAAAATCTAAACAAACAATCTAATTTCAGTTCTGGCAGCTTTGATTGTATGATGGCCTAGTCTATTTTATTTTCCATGATTTATAACTGTCAGACAAAATGGCTCAATGAATTTTGAATTTTTTTGTTTTTAAAATTGGCTTCCCAAGCAGCATGAGTAACTGGTGGCCACCAGATATGAATGTCAGATATTGAGTAATTTCTTTCAGTAAGGTCAATCATTTTTCATTCTTAATAAATCAATCGCTCAGAAATGGTTATTTGACACCACCTAATGTTGAATAACATTGTTTTTACCTGCAAAGATGAGTAAAAGTGAAGGCATAAAAATGTGTGAGAGCATGTTTTAACTCACCCTGTAAGGTTCATCATCTAGTCTTTACTAAAAAAGTATATTTCCTAATTCCATATGGACTGTAGTTAATATATGCACAGTGTTTTACGCTCAGTTTGTTTCCTTAATGAACGCAGGGAAGTGCTTTATTGGTTCAGGGGACCTACAGCGTCACATACGTTCCCACACTGGTGAGAAACCCTACATCTGTAACGCCTGCGGTAAGAGCTTCACTCGCTCTGCCATGTTGAGGAGACACAGCAACATGCACTGCAAAGGGGCTCCAGCCGACAGCCCGGTTACCAACAACTCTGAGCAGACGCGTAGCGCAGATGGAGCAGCCTCATTCCCTAAACCTGTCAGCCACAGAAAACCTCCTGCCTCTACCAGTGAGCAGAATTTCTCCACTATGATACCTCACACAGGGCTAGACAAACCCTCACCACCTACTCCTTCACCACCACAGCCACCACCACATATAGAGACTCCTTCTCCCAGCATGCACCTCAGCCCAGCTTCCACCCCCACCCCTCTTCCAGAGCTGCGCTCGCTGGTACCGCATCACCTCCTCTCCTCCAGCCACCAGGAGAGAACTGACCACATGAAGGTGGCCAAGCCCCACCTAGCTCAGGAGGCTGTGTACGGTCCATATGTGGAGAATGGGAATATGTCAGTGGAGATGGGCAGAGGTCTGCCGGGGAGGCCCTACCTGCCTCCCACAGACAATCAGTGCAGTTCATTTACATCCAGCAGGCCCAGTGGTGGCTCCTACAGGTCCAGTGAGGGCCAGTTTATCTCCAGTGTTACGCTGTGGGGCCTGGCAATGAAAACTCTGCAGAATGACAATGACATGGAGCAATAAAACGCTTCTCCAAATATTTCACAGGGTGCACACTTTTCACTAATGTTTACTTAGCTGATTTTGATTGTTACCACTTGGCTCTTGATTGGTTCAAACTGACTTGTATAAAAAATGGCAGCTGTTATGATGCAGCAAACTTAAAATAGTAATAATATGAATTATTCATAACTGGAAATGTTTTAGAGTTGCCTTTCCTCAAAATCAAAGTAACTGTCTCCTAGTTTTTCATAAAACAATTAAATAATACATTTACTCATAGGGATGAAAACTGCCATTGTGACGCTTTTCTGACCTCGTCCCAGTCAGACAGGTGATGGTGGACACCAACTGTGACATCACTAATTAGGGTGTGGCCTGAAGTGCAACATGCTTAAATATTAGAGCCCATAAAGAGCAGTGTGCAATTTTTTTGCCCTCTGATTCTGTGCACATCTGCCCTTTTAAAGTTCCACTTAAGAAACATCCAAGGACGCATCACAGCTAATTAAAATCTTAATTCCACTTTTCCAGTTTGTTTATACAGCACTGCACTTTAAAATGTAAAAATGCAAACCTATTTTCAATTACCAGTGTCAAATATTGATTAGTATATTAATATAAGAATAAATGCTGTACATTATATTTAATGTGTGTGTCTTTGTTATTTAATGGAAAACATTTTTTGTTTAGGAGAGCTGAAGTCCAATATATTTTTAACTCAGATATTTATTTTTATTTTTTAAAAGAGCCTTAAAATTAAAAAAAATCAAACAGTCGCTGTGTCTTGGGACATAAGGAGACAGAGTCAACACTTTTTGAATAATTAATCAACAAAAAAGCAGGAGATGTGAAGTAGGACCATATCATTACCACAAAATCAGGAAGGGATGATCATATATAATAGGCAGTTGTACTTGCATAATATACATGTGGTTATTTCAAAGTTAAATGTATTTTTATGTCATGAAATGACAGATTTCATCAACCTATTTTCACCTGATTAACAATGTAGCAAAGAGTTTGTAATTTTCTTTGAGTTCATAATGTTCACTGCATAATCTCAGGTTCTTTTAGTTGCTTTTTAGTGGAGCAACAAGGGGCTTTACTGAGCAACTAAATCCTACACTTGTAAAGTGTTATGCTGCTAAAAGACTGCAGAGGGAGCTAGAAATCACATGCTACAATTCATGGTGAAATTTGCAAAGGAATTTTGTCAGAAAGCCTCAGATACTATAATGTCACAGATCTGACTGATATTCTTCGAATCAGTTAATGTAAGGTATCTCTTGTTGGGCCACCACATGCTGCCAGAACAGCTTCACTGCTCCGATTCTACACGTCTCTGGACTCTGCTGGAGGGATGAACACCATTCTTCCAAAAGATATTCCCTCATTAGATCTTTTGATAATGATGGTGGAGAGCGCTGTCTAACACTTAAGTCCAAAATCTCACACGTTCAACTGGCTTGAGATCTGGTGTCTGTGAAGGCCATAGCAAATGAGTCATTTTCAGTGACCCCTTCAGGTTTTTCCTTTAATCTGTCCCCATCTGTAGAAGCATGTTATGTAATGCCTGTCCCCTCTGACCAAGTGCCTGAAGGTATGAACATTGCTCATGGGATGGATTTGTTTTTTTTATGGAGTAAGTGTTATTCACATTCACCACACATCCACTAAACACTGTGCACCAGTAAACATTGTGCAGCACCACTGCAGCATGCGAGACTTGTAAACAGTGCACTGAGAAGAATGCATTCTCTACAAGATAGGTAGCCGATAATTGGCCGCCATTGTCACAACATACAGGCCCCGTTACCCCATGCCTGCTGGATTAGTTGCCTAGCAACACATTGGATAAGTCTGTTATCATGGTGTTCTGTCTCCATTTCCCTTTGCATCAGTCCTCCAACCACTGATGGACAAATGGGATTCTGGGTGGGGAAGTGTACCTGACCCTGATGCTTTACACTAAGAGAAGAGTGTCAAGTGTGTGTGTGAGAGATAAGTGTATGTGTCACAATATTCCTATATTCTTGTGCTCCTTTTACACTGTATTACTCACTATACCTATGGATATTAAAGTTGTGTGTTTTTTTTATTCACACAGTTTTGTTTTTGCAGTTTTTGAGAGATAGAGATGTTATTCAAACCATGGTGAGCATGAACATGTTCTCATTTTACAGCAGACACCAAAGTGTGACAGTGTGAAGAAAAGCCTTCTGTCCTTCACAACATGGAGGAAGAAATCTACAGCACACCAACCCTGGTTCCCGGTCCTCATCACAGCGAATCTCCCAATTCTTAATTGGCGAGCCACCTCATAGGTAAAATGTCCATTCAGGAAGTGTTACACAGATCTGAAAAGAAACAGAAACCCTCTGAGTCTTCTCTGTACCAGGGGTGAAGGGGTTTCCATCAATTTAATATTATACATGCTCACAATAACAGCACTAGCATAATGATGCTGAGAGGGGATAGTGCAAAAAATAATGATGAAAATTGTTGCAGTAGAAGTATCCTGACTATGATAGGTCAAAATACAAATCAAAAAAGGGAAGAGAAAATCATAACGGACACCCTCACACCCTGAACACTACTTGTTCCACCGGGTAGGCGCCACAGAGAACTGTAGGCAAAAACAACAAGACAGCAGAACAATTTCTCTCCACATGCCATCACTTTCCTGAACAGTTGAATCAGTCATGCGAGGTCTAAATATAATTCCTGTGAAATAACACTGCAATTCTAAAAAACTCTACTGTCCATATTTATCATATATATTTCATTGTGACAGAAACATTGAACAATAGCATGTGCGTAATATCCTTTCTTTGTCACACTCATCTAACACTGTCTAAGTAGACTGTACTGTACATATTCTGCCCCTTCAATGATTTATGAGCACTCGGTCAACAAAAAAAATGTTTTTGTTGTCGCACAAAAAAGTAAAAATGATTCAAAATCCAGCTTTATCAATAATGAACACTACAGTGTTCTCCTTATAGTGGTGAGAGATGAGATGACACAACTCTGTCTGTTCATAACAGTAAAGTACAAGTATACAAGTTGTTAACTATATCTTAAACCATAAATGTGACAACTAGTACTGTATGTCTGCAGAAGACTGACACAACCAAAAATGTGAAAGTATACCACACAGTCTTTGGTGCTCATTTTTTTTTTGGATATTTATTTTTACCTGCATATTCATAGACACACACCTGGACTTAAGGGAACCCTGCCGGCACTGATAGACCTAAAGCAGCTCTGTTTGGTACAGAAGCAAAAGTGCTTCTTGTGTGTCATTACATGGTAATAACTACACCAGTGTTGCTATCCGTTACCAGGGTGAGTGACTTTGAGGGTGAATTCTCTCTTCTCTCTCTCTCTCTCTCTCTCTCTCTCTCTCTCTCTCTCTCTTCGTCCCTGTCAGGCTCTCTCTCTCTCCCTCTTCCCACTCTCCCATCATGTTAAAGTTAATCCTGATTATGTATGCTGTCTAACTGGTGCAAAATGAAACCAGGCCTAATGCCATTTTACCCAGAAACATTTCCAAAGCTCGTCTTTTGTTCCGGGATCTAATCATGTTTCATTGCTTTGTGTTGTCACAGGCATATGAGGATAGGTTTAATTAACAAGCGAGTGTGAAATATATGAATCCATCCAGATTTCAGCCAACTGTGGCATTTAACTGCAGAGAATGAGCAGCGCTCAACCAGGTTTCTATTTTTATTTATTTTTTTGCTGTTATTCACCTAAATGTGCATCTTTGACATATTTCTTGCTTATCTTGACATTTTTACGATTCTTTTCGTGTTATTTTATTCGTATATAAAGAATTCTCCCATCTCCTCACGCTCTTATGACTGATAATACAAAAACTCTGTTCGGTGTTTCTGAATATTTATACCTTTTCTGCAACAGAGCACTCATTATTATTATTGCATCTGAAACAGCACGAGCACCAGAAGATGTGGACGTGCTCTGGCAGCGGCTCCGGCTGAGCAGTAATTGCTGTGGAGTTGCGGCGTGTTGCATTGTTGGATGAGATGGATAAGTGGCTGACCTAGTCTCTGCGCTATAATTCCTCTGTGTGTCGCAATATGAAAGAGGCTTAACCAGAGAGGAAGAATGGTGATTGTTCCTACTGTTGCTCTGCTGTCTCTCTCTGCTCTGCTTCTTATTGCTTTTCTCCTCCTCTCAGACGGTACCTGCTTCCCCTCCATCTGTCCAGATTTCCTCTGAGGGTGTCACTCATGCAATCCATAACTACACAGATGCTATTAAGGCATCCGTTCAATTCACACCATGTTGTGCAGGTTCATTTGAAGTCATAATCTGGCTGTTTTTAAGACACTGATCTCATGTGATGAGGCCTGGAGCTAAAAGGCATGCATGTCCTGCAGAAATACAAGGGAATATGCACACTGAATCATACCCTGCATCTTTCTCCCTGCTTATTATCTACTGCTTGACTTCCTCTTATGCTCTGTCTGTCTTTTCTACACACATACACACACACACACACACACACACTGGCCTTTAGCTACGGTACCCAGGTGTGTTCCTCCCTGGATCTGCAGTACAATCTCGGTTGCTTGAAATGCATTTTGACACCTGTCAGTGTGTGTGACAGGTTATTCTGTGCCCCCCCCCCCCTCCTTGAGTTTGAGCACATACACATAAAGTAATAGACTCGGGACTGGGACCTGGTTTTGCAGCAAAATACCAGTTGTATTTTGAAACTCTATTCCACATATTGCAGTAACATGCTGTAGGATAGTTGAGGGATGACTGGCTGCATCTGGGAGCCCCTCAGGTGCTTTGTGCCTATTTGCGGATTCTTATTTCCCAGCATGCATGAAGACGTGGCAGCAGTTCTTCACCATGGGTGCATTAACAGTGACTTGAGCTTCAAACAGTCAAACAGTCACAGACAGGACACTGAGCCGCAGCTATGAGATGGGCATATAGGAGAATTAGAATTTAGATATTGTAGTGTAGCATTAAGTGATAGAACTGAGTGAGTTCACCGACTCTGTGACTCTTCTCTGCTTGTGCTACAGACACATACATGTTGTCACCGATTCATTTTTTAAATCCGTCCACAAAAGTAAAACAGGAAGTAAACATTGTACCTTGTGGTCCCAGCTGCTCGCTTTCAGTCAGGTCGCCTCATGATGACTCAAATGAAGGGACGTGTGATATTGCATTGTCCTGTAATTGGCACTTGTAGCCGTAGTAACTGCTGTTCAACGAAAATGACAGAGTCTCACTTTAAAGCGTAAATTGACAGATTTCTGCTCATTGCTGTTTGTAGCTTTATGCCACACTTGTCACGTGTGTCTAGTACCATGACTTTTTACTCATGTTGTCACTTTCTGGTGAATCTTTATGTGGTCATCACTTGAATGCTTACATGATCATGTTATATCAGTTTGGTGAAACACGGTAGCAAAAAAATAAACATTTATTTATATGGAAAAAATATTTGTTGGTCAGTTTAAACCATGCCAGAAAAACTGTCACTAATGTAGCAATTTTTTTCCCCAACAGTCCACTGTCTGCATGATATTTCCATGATGTCACACTGTGCAGTCAGGTCAGACGACAGGCCTCTGTGAAATCCAGTAGGAGTGTTTCGGCTCATTATCTGAAACAGATCCTAACTAAAAGGATGAAGTGCACACGAGAGACGCCGTTCTTCTTGCTTCAGATCCTTCTGATTTCCTATGGTGGAGATATTAGCCAATCAGATTCAATGATTCCCTAATCGCTTGGACAGAGCCCTTCAGGCAGAGAGAAAGAGAGAGAGTGAGAGTGTGTGTGTGTGTGTGTGTGTGTGTGTGAGAGAGAGAGAGAGAGAGAGAGAGAAAGGGACAGGGGGGAAGAGACAGTGGAGGGAGAAAATGAAAGAATAAAAGCGAAGGAACGATGGGAGAGATGTTGTAAAATTAGCCACGCTGTCAGAGCAGTTTGCACTTGGCTTTACAGGAATTGTCGTCAGTGTAGTCAGGGAAGCCCCTCTCGCTCTCTTTCATCTTGCCTGCAGTTAGATTCAGGCTCTCTCTCTCTCCCCCTCCCTCCCTCCCTCTCTCTCTCTCTCTCTCTCTCTCTGCCTGGGTAAACTCATTAGATGACAAACTGCCTGAGCTCCTACAGTGAATCTGGATAAAAACAGCATTCAGACAGTTAAGGATCATTGCCCAAAGTTACCTGTATGTGTTTGTGTGTGTGTGTGTGTGTGTGTGTGCGTGCGTGCGCATGAGTGGAGCCCTGGTTTGTTCCTGGTTGTCAAAGATTGCATAAATGTTGTAAATAAATAAATGTCTCCACTCTGTGAGTCATGTTTCCAGTGGGGCAGATGCTGTGACTTATTTAACTGCTGCTTCTGAGCTTTTATTCCAAAGTTTGGTAGGTAACAAGTGGACCTGTCAGTCTACACACAATTCTGTTTGACGGACTAGTTTAACATTTTTGGAAATGCGCTTATTTACCATTCTTGTTGAGACGTAGATGAAAACATTGAACCTCTCGTGTCAAGTACAGAGCTAAAACAAGGATTTTCTCATCTCATTCTTGACATAAAAGTGAAAAAGTATATTTAGCAAAATGCCAAACTTCTACATCAAAGCCAAAATGACACTTTAAGTTTGTTTTCTTCTCAGCGTAAACAGGACTTGTCTTATAGAGATGTAGGTATTTTGCGACATTATTTTTGTCCATTTGGTCAATCAAGTCTAATTAAGTGAAGTTTATCAGCATATGGAAGGTTATTTGTATATTATTATAAAACATACAATAAGATAATTATTTTTATAATATATGGATCCCCTTTCACTGCAGCTACAGTAACCCACAGCAGTCAAATTTACTTAAAATAATATGAATGCATTTTTTTTCTGAGCTGCTCTTGACTTGACAAATATGGACTTTAACAGATTTCAAAATAAAAAGAAATTTTAAAACGACATGCCCTATAGATAGAATAACAAATCTGTTCCCGCCAATGGCAAAAAATGAAGGCGTCACTCCTCCTTGCTGAGGCCAATCCCTGCCTGTCTCCATGGCAAATTCTAACGCTCTTGGGGGGTGGGGTGGGGTGGGGTGGGGGGTACATAAAACCAAGAGTGTTCGGCTTTTTCCGGTCGGAGTCGGACTAAGAGCCGACTGTTAACGCGCGACAGACATATCAATCGGGTCTTGGCTTGTGGTTTCAGATTGTTTCCATCCCATCAAACAAGTAAGGAACAGAAAGTAGCCTTCTGCTGAAATGGACACCGCCAATCAGGTGCGTAACTGAAGGAGAAGAGAGATGATTATGACTCAGAGATGTTAGAAGTTATGAGCTCAATTGGCCAGTGTGTCGTTAATTGATGACAGAAATGAGAATGCTTTTATCCTCGCTGTGTGCTTTTTGCAGCTCGCTTCTGGGGGGACATTTCAAGTGCTAAAATTACCTCTGGGATTTATCCGTGTTTTGGAATGGGTGAGTTGGAACTTTGATGTGTTTTTGCATGGAATAACTTTACCGTGCAGTGTAAGTAGGCTACATCAATGAATTATATAATATAGGATGTGATGTGTGTGTGTGTGTGTGTGTGGGGATAGTATTCCTACACTGAAAACTAAAAGTTTGTTTTTTTGTTTGTTTGTTTTTTACATCCTTTGGGTTTTGCGCCTTAATGATGGTGTTTGTGTTACTTCCACACGGCGAGGGACCTTACCCGCAATCAGCTTGACTGTGATCCGTTACACCGTGACTAAATGGCTCAAGTTTATGTAAGGATTTACAGCTCCGTGGGAACTAGATGACACTGGAAACCGCTATGAAGCTTTTTTCAATTAATGCGTATTTTGGATGCGTTGGGGCCAAACCTGTGCGTTTTTGCGTCAGTCCACAAAAAATGCCCCACGTTACCCCAAGTGAAATGACATACCGGGAGTCAACAATAAGAACGGGTCGTCCTAGCTCTGACTGAATCAAAGCTTTACTACCTCTCTCTGTCTGGGTGCCGTTTGTAGACTCTGGTGTTTATTGTACAGTGCAGAGAAGCCTCGAGGCAAAAAGAGATAAGTGATTTTCTTTGATGTGAGTTTAGAGAAATTACTATAGCCATGAGGGTATTCAGCTTGCGTGCGTGTGTGTGTGTGAGTGTGTGTGTGTGTGTGTGCGTGCGTGCGTGTGCATGTGCGTGAGCTTGTCTCTCTCACTTTCATAAATGCCATCAAATGTGCAGAGGATCCTCAAGCAGCAGTCTCCGCTGCAGAAAATTCTAATAAAAAGCTCTTTTTTTTTTTTTTTTCTTTTACATGCGAAGGGAGTGAAGCTCACTCAAACTTAATTTCATCAGACATGTAAGGTTTCAGCTGAGATAGGGCAGATGTCTATCAGTGAGGTGAGCTCCCGAGTGCATCTGTTTTGGCTGTTTGTGTGTGTGACCATGTTCACTGTGAAGAACAAGCAGATGATCCAAAGCACCATCTGTATGATGAAGATAACACTCTGTCATAGCTCCCTCTGTGTGTCTTCATGTTGCGTGTGTGTGTGTGATGGTGGAGGGCATCATGTGTGATTGTGTGAGCATGACTGCACACCGTTCTGTGACATCCAGTGACGTATTGATCCACCAATCCTCTGGTAGAGCTCACTAACATGTAATCATACATGATCTTACTCAAGCTACAATTCATTTCACACACACACACACACACACACACGCACACACACACACACACAGGCAAAAATCATGATACTAGGCAACCTCCACAGCTTCATGCCACTGTTATAAATGTGACCTTTTCCTTGCCGCGTCTTTTTTTTTCTTCTCCTTGCGCCCGCATCTTAGTTTCCAACGTCTCTGCTGCTCAGCGGGCTCATAAAAATGCAAACAATTCAAATTATGACCCAGCTATTCTGATTTATTCTGCAGCACCTACAGTGGTATAGCTGTGGTCAGGCTATTCCTCTCTGATAGCAGACAGGAGAAAGAGATTTTATTTTACCACAAGGAGTCCTTGCATTAAAAGTTCACAGCTAAGATTCTCCTCCTCCTATTCATGGAGCTACTTTACAAACAAATCAAGAGAAAAGAAACAGGGATCAGTCCTGAAGCAATGGGTCACAGTATAAATATTTTTTTTCTAAAAAGGGAATAGACGAATATAACCATACATTTAAAAAGAAAACAAAATAAACCTAAAATAACCAAATAGCCCAAAAATGTGCAAGCTTAACATGTTCCAGTCTGAGGTCCCTGTTGAATGTGAGGAGTGAGGGGCCTGCAGGGACGGTCTCCCACTGTCCCCCATCAAAAAGTGACATTCAGCTGGGACATGATGCCTCTCAAACTGCAGCGTCAGACACTGGAGGATACAGAAATAATGAGCTGAGTATAATCACATGTAGCTGCCACTGAAACCACCTGATATTCCTCTAGCTGACCAACATGTTTTCCTGCACAACAGTGGCCATGAAGAAAGATTTACATGTGTGTCTTTATGCATGCATATTCAATATGATGTAATTATGTAATTTAGATCTTGACCATTGGCCTCATGCAGCCCTGTATTGTATATGTATATATGAACCTTAAGTTTAAATATGGCCCCTGTTTATTTTTAGACCATCATTCAAACAGCGACCTCCTCGCAGCCTGCAAATACGTGCAGCCGACCTAAGACTGACATGGCAGTCACTTGTGAAGAGCCTGTACAACCACAATACAATGTTTTCAGTGTTTATAACAATATCTTAAGGCCTGCCCTGCAGTGAATTTCTTTGCAAATTACAGCACCAGCAAAAACACATGTCTGTCAGTTTGCTTTGTTTACATGCCTCCAGGCATTAAAGGCTTTTGTTCAGGCAGCGATTGACATTTACTTTGCTAATGACACTGAACCCTTGACTGTATGGCTGATTGGTCATGTGGACAAACATAAGGTTGTTTAAAGGTTGTTTTAACATTAGCCAAGATGTTGCCATAGATTAGTAGGTGGGAGGGTGTGTGTGTGTGTGTGTGTGTGTGTGTGTGTGTGTGTGTGTGTGTGTGTGTGTGCCAATCAGCTCTTGGCCCGTTTGGCACACTGTCAGTGGTTGGCATATTCTGCTCCAAACAGCTGTAAGGTCCCCTCCTCTCCACCATGGACCAACTCATGCAGAAGCTGTCCTTTGAGATGTGCCCAAACTCTTCACTGCATGTGTGTGCACGTTTGTGTGTGTGTGTGTTTGAGAGAGAGATGGAAGGAGAAAGAGAGCAAAATTGTACAGTTGATTGAGCACATGATGCAAATAATATACATGCATTTGTTATGCGCTGAAGCGCGGCCATGGCTGTTGTATCATCTCACACACTGCAGATTTACAAGTACTGTATCAACTCAGTGGCCTCCTGTACTGTAGCAATACTCAGGCTGGTGAGTCACAAAATATGAGTCCCATCATGAGTCTCATTTATGAGTAAGGGTCCTCCTCTCATTAAAAACCCACAACTGACCCACTGTCTTATGATGTCATCCTCAGCACCTTACTGTACGCTAGTTTAGTTTGCCTCAGGGTGTGTTTGTTTGTGTGTGTGCCAGATAGAGCTGTGCCACAATAGAGGATTGGTTTCAGCTATAGCTTGGACCTGACTGGAGGATGTACTCAAACGTAAAATAAATACATGCAAAATCTAAAAAATGTCCAGGCTGAGTCCCTTCCCCTTAGTTATTGTTGCTATGCCTGTCGAGGTTTTCATTCATGCGATGATAGAAGTAAAAAAGTAAGTAAATTTGAAGTGCATGTGAATGCTAAAGCTAAACCTCTGTGTTGGTTGAAGGTTGGGCTCCTATAGTTTGGATCCAGTTTCTGGTTGGATTTGTTAAGATAACTGACGCTAACAAATCTCCAGTTAAAATGTCCGACGTCGCTGTCGGTAGATTATATCAGCTGTAGCTAATTAAAGTAAATTCAGTAACAGCTTCACTGACACTTCAGTCTGTTGGTTAATATGATCTCTCCAAGCCACTCACTGTACTCTCCCAAAGATTGTTTGTGAATGAAAAGACACATCCCTTTGTTCAATCACTCTACGACAGCCAGTGAACAGTCGTTCAACAGAGTGGCACCTCTTCTCTAGAGAGACGATCAGCTGATTATAGCACGTTAAATTCAAGAGAAAATTAAATTGTAGTTTAACTTTTCACACAGATTAAATCAGTATTTTGAGTTCATTAACCCCATAGTTCTGAATCAGGGGCGCCGATATTTGGATCAGGTTTGTGGTGTATCAGGTATAAAAGTTCCCATGTTATAGCCGTTATTTTCAGTGTCTTCGAACAATCAGTCAGCAATAAGAATTTCATGTCCTCTGCTGCTCATGTCATTTTCAGGTCAGAGCCACAGGTGGTGAAAATTAATAAAGCTATCTTAATTAATGTTCATGATGATGAATTAAGTAGCTGCTACTAAAAACTGTCATAATTCTTTGCTCAGACAGAAACAGCTGATCACAGATCTAAACTGGATCTCTGACTTGTAGTTATTTATAGCTTAGTAAACTGAATATTTCTGGCTTTTGTCCTGATGGTCAGAGAAAACAAACACATTTTCTAATATTTTCTTACAGTTTACAAATTCAGTGGTTAATGACTCTAAAAAATAATAGATTCATTGATATTACATAAACAATTGTTAGTTGCAGCCCTAGTGACATTTGTTCTCTTTACAAAGCTTTACACATACTTAAGCTATAGAGAATACATCAGGATTCACATACATTTTTTTAAATGTAACTTCAAACTTAACAAGAAAGGTCAAACTGGTAAACAAGAAAAATTAGACGCCGTTTGCATGTTATATTACTGCTGTACGTGTCCATGGCAAATGACTGTAATCAAAGCTGTCACACTTAAGAAAGTATGAAATCAAAAATGTTTCTCTGATTAATGCAGACATTTTCTATATTACAAAGCAAATAGGTATTAGGCGATTAACCCCTGAGGAATACTACTGCAAAACTGAGTGCCAGAATTTCTCTGTATATGTTTTGCAAATACAACAAAGGCTCACGTGAGTAAAACACTTGTGAATGCTGTGGGATTGGCAAAATTAGATGCACCTCTTCTTTGGAAATCTTGAAAATCTTCTTTTGGGCAATCTCAGTTCTCTCTCTCTCTCTCTCTCGCTCTCCCTCTCTCTCCCTCTCTCTCTCCCTACACGATTTTATCTGTCACATTTTGTGTTATTTCTTCATTGACCTCGTGTTATCATGTAGGTTTTGACACATTTCTGCACAATATTCACGATGAACATTTGTGCAGGGGAATAAGCGCACGCACACACACACACACACACACACACACACACACACCAAAGGCAAAACAAATATGAAAGGAGGGAGATGCAGGGAGATTGGTGACAGCTGCTGACAGATATCACAAGAGACTTGACACGTCAAAGATCTGTTTTTCAGCACTGGGAGAAAAAATGACACCTCTTAAATGCTT